CTAACGGGATGGCATTTTATCATGAAGAGTGGAGGTCTTTGAAAGAGCCAATCTAAGGCACAGAAATGATCAAATTTCCCATTTGAATGAATCACTGTTGAAAAAAATAGGAGGAAAATTAGATTGAAAGTAGGATGGATACAAATTAATAGAAAGCCAGTGGCCTTACTGCAGCAACAGAAGGAAAACCAATTAGGGTCACTTCGTTGGGGATAGATTTGGACGAAACAGTCTGGAAATTATTTTAAACATAAAATTTAAAGATTTGGTAAATGATAAAAATTGGAGCTAAGATGAATGAGGGTACTACCCAATTTTATGCTGAATTCTAGGTTTCTGATACAGGTAAAAGGAGAGCTATGACATCATCCATCTGGCATAGACAGACAATATTTTAAAAAAAAAAAGGTATAGAGTTGAATTTGGGGGGAGAAAAGAAAGATGATGCATTTTGTTTTATCTACGTGGTGGTGTCATAGAAATAGATATAGAAATTCATATCTGAGAAGACTGATACTAGATTTAAAAAGTAGAATAACTTCAGTATAGTTTGTTTAGCGGCTAACAGTACAAAGAAGTTAAAAGGAAAAGAAAAGAAAAAAAAATCAAAGACATGAAATTAAAATGAAAAGCTAAACATCTGAGACATCCTTTTAGGACAGCATTTTGATGAAGGGAACAAATAGAAAACAAGTTGTCCGAAGAAATGAAAGGCCAGTACCTCCAAGGTAGCTAGAAGAAAAACAAACAGGTCTACAGAGTAGGAGGAGAGTGGGCCCCGGCTTTCAGCCTAGGGTGCCTGCTTCCAGGGATGGGAGCAAGACATGAGATATACAGTCATTTTGTCAGTTTGAAAAGTAGTTAATCACTCATTTTAAAAACCATACAATCTCAAGTTTGGCTGATGTCCTGCTTATTCTTTCAGGCTTCTCTGACAGCCACTGACCCCCTCAAGCAATATGGAATATGGCCTTATATCAGTTTTTTAAAGTCTCTCCACAAGTTCTGTACACAGGAGAGTGTGCGTGTGTGCCTGCATGCATGTGTGTGTGCGTGTGTGTGCATGCACGAATGTGCTCACATATATAATTAATATGTATATTTACTTTTATATAGCATATTCTCTTTTACCATCAGTTCTATGAAACACACTTTCTTAGTATCTTTATTATAATAACATATTGGGGGAAAGACCAATTAGGGCTTCATATATCCTCGTCTCCTAGGAATTCTGGTGTTTCAGCATATACAAACTATTCTCATAATGAGTATGTCCTTAGAAGCTGCATATATAAGTTTTTAGAACAACTTGGTCAATTTGGGATGATAAAGATGGAATATTTTCTGGCTGTTTTATGACTTGTCTCTTTTTTGTTATGAGTAAGTGCTAACTTCTCTTCTTCCCATTCAGGGTTAAACAGGGCAGTCGCCTGTTTGTCCAGTCTTCCAAGCAAATTCATACTGGGATGAGTTAAAAGTTATTTCACTTTAACCATAATGATCGCTGGCATTTTTTTTTTCCTGAAGTGATTTTTGTCACAGTAAAGCTTGAACCTTTATTTTAAAGTACCAATTTGCGGTTGTCCCAAAACTCTCACATGCTTCTCTGTGCTATTTCCTGCAAATCAATAATCCGTTTTCATTTTGAAGTTTATTACACCCATACTCGTGCTTCAGGCTGGAGCCTATGTCACCCTACGGAGCAAAGCCTGCTTTCTTCAGTGAACATTTAAAGCGTCACTCACAGCTCTGAGCCCATCACCTTAGCTAAACCTGCTGAACACGCAGCCTTCATCTCACCTTTCTAAACCACAAAGTAAAGGGTACATCCATTGTATGTGGCATCTGTAGCCGTGGATTTCTGCACGCATACGAAAAGAAAATGTCTTTTTTTTTTTTTAATTACAGCTGTACTGAATACGGGCACACTTTTTTTCCCATCACTAGTCCCTAAACAATCCAGCCCAGCAAATATTTAAATTGCATCTATCGTAGCTGGAGAGATGGCTCAGTGGTTAAGCACATATAATGCTATTGCAGAGGACGAAGGTCAGTTCCCAGCACACATGTAAGATGGCGAACAGCTGCGTGTAACTCCAGCTGCAGGGGGCATCTGACGCCACCAGCTTGCACAGGCACTCACATGTACATGGCACTGAAGTATACTCATACACATAATTAAAAGTTAAAACAATTCTTTAGACATCATTCACTTTAGAGTAGTTATTACCTACAGTCCAAGAATGATTTAAAGTATACAGAAGTATGCGATTTTGATTACAATAAAATACTATACTGCTTTATATATGGAAATTGATTGTCCAGTTTTTGATCCTGAAACCAATCTACCATGGATCCTAAAGGACAAGTCTACTTCTGCTTCTTGCACTAGAACGATTCGGGCACTGTGTATACCTTTGTGTGCAAGGGGAAACAAAAGTTTCCTATTTTTTCAGAATAAACCAAAACCAAAAGCTAAACAGAAAATCTACCTTCTATAACCTAAGACCTCCTACTTTGGGAGATACAACAAAATAGTAACAAAGGCAGTTACAGTTCACTGGGGCCTACTGTGTGCTGGCTATAGCACCATTCCATCACTTCTCAGGACACCCTTGAAGTATCCTTGTGTCTTTATATGATATTATTAAGCCACATCCACAGATAAGGAAGTAGGATTAGAAATTTGCCAAAATTCATGGATTGATTCCTGAATGCGGCAGAACTATACCTCAAACCTAAGACTGACTTACCTTGTTTTTTCTGTGTCTCCAATTAATGGTATCTGGTGGCGACACAGAGACCTTTAAGGAAAAACCTATAATTAAAATATTTATCATTGTGGGTGGTCACGTCATGGAGTACGGAGCGCTTCTCCACAAGCATGGCAACTGATCTTTCTGGAGGCCCTAAGCCTGGGATTCCACCCACTGGAGCTACAGAAGCTATGAGCGCCCTTATACCCAAATTCCAGCCTTTTGGCACAGCTTGTAATAGCCCAAGCCCCACCTATATTAATGGAATGTTCTAGACGCCTAAATTTATAAGCAGGACATTTTCCCACAGCAACCAAATGTGAAGCATAGCATCAATGGAGGATTTATGTTTTTATTATTTGACCTCTTTTATATAGTCATCAAATGAATTTACTAATTATTACACATAGCAATTTGATGGCCACAAAACATGAAAACTCTGTTTATTCTTCCATGAAGTTCAAAAGCAACAAGTCCTTATGTATGGATATAATGGGGAAATACCATCTTATAATAAATAATGATTCCTAAAGAAAAACTTGGCTATTTAAGGAGAATTTTTTCTCTCCGAAGTGCTTTATTATTATTATTATTATTATCATCATCATCATCATCATCATCATTATTATTATTATTATTAAGTTATTATTATTTTTAAGTCATCGCGGGCAGCAAGCGTAAAGCAAAGACAATTTGTATTGCTGCCAAATTTAATTTTAAATTGACTTAACACATATATTAATTAACTCAACTTTCAGTGTGATGATTTTCTATCCTTATATGGGACGGATAGAATTCTGGCAAGCATAAAGGTGTCTTGCTGAAAATATTGATATTTATGGGCATTTAGATGGAATCTCCTTTAAGTACAAGATTCAAAGAAGTTTATGGTACAAAGCACAAGGTAATGCAAACTGCCTCAGCACCTTCTTGCCTGGGCCTACTGCAAGGCCAAAAGGTCAGGACAATATTAGAACACTTTTTCATTCCTAACATCACATAGACTGCAAAGATGGCATTAAGGCAAAACCCCAACGAAGTAAATGATCATAGCTCCGGGGCCAATACAGGAAAATAATTTAGTGGGTTGCTTCTTTTCCTATTGAAAATGAAAATATTTTTATTGCATCCCACGAGGAAAATATATATTCTTACAAATTAGATATGTTATCTTAGTGAATAGAAGGTCAATGGGAAACTTGCCTTTTCTTCTTAGCTGCTGAAATATTAATATGTAGGCACATTTGAGGAGTAGCAGCTTGATGTCCAATTTGGATATTATGATCTCATTGAGTTGCGTATTAATTTGTTAAAACGGCACTTCTGCCTTTAAGGTGATGCCATATGTTTTCTTGGTAATTAATATTTTACCTTTATTAAGATCAGGAACCCAATGTTTTCATTAAGGAGGAAACCACAGAGGTATCATAGTCCCCCCCCCCCCCCGCAGCCTGCAGAAAGTGTTATTTCAGCCATGGCAATCCCATTCTTCTGATTCCATGCTCCCTTCAAGATGCTGACAGACTCACTGAGAGCCATAAGCATTTGTAGAAATCCCCAGGCACCACCACACTCAGAGATGAGCAGAAAATGAAACACATGAGCAAGAGTGGTTGTTCCCATCTCTTCTCCTGTTATGCCCAGTATTTTCAACTCACACATGGTCACACACGTCAGATGTAGACCTTTGCTTAAAAAAAGCTCCTTCGCTTGGACCTTCCCACAGTCTCTCTCTCCGCCTCTCCTGATATTCTTCCAGAGTCAAATCAACTGCTCACAAACCTTGCTTTCTGCTGTAGGTAGGGGTAAACTGCGCTTAACTCCCTTCAGGAAAAAAAAAATTATATATATATATATATATATATATATATATATATATATATATATATTCAGCAATAACGATTTTTTCTTTGTGTAATAATTTCAAATGTTACCTCCAAAATGCTAATCTTCATACTATAGTTCAAGATATTAAATACTCAATACCAATGTAAAACTAACCAAAAGAAGAAAGTATTATATCATTATAACTAACTTGTGAATGGTAGGTTCTCAACACTTAAGAATAATTTTAGTACTAATTGAGAACTTATAAGGAACCATGTATACATAGTAGATGTGTTTATTAAAACATGTCAATAAAATGATAATGATAAATACATCTACCACTTACATAGAACTTACTATGAGCCACTAAAGCTTTGTGCTCTTTATTGATTTTAATAATACATTTGATATTTGTAGGATCCACCTAAGGTAAGTGTAGAGCGCCTTCCACACGAGAAGAAACGGACAGAGCACAGCTGCTACACCCCGGATTTGAAAATGAGTCCACGGAGGTCCAGAGTGTAAGTAAATCAGAAAAAAAAAAAAAAAGACATGTACTTTTATTATTAAGTTGTGACAGCCAAAGGTTTTTTTATTTTTATTTTAGTGTAAAATGTCTTTCACTTTTTAATGTGTCTTTTAAACAGCAGATCCATGGATTTCTGTCTTAAAAACTGTAAAGACATAATAAAAGTTTTCCTTTTTCTAAATAATTTTCCCTGAAGCTATTGTGCTTACACCCAAGCTTATAGTATTCCACTGTGCACTGTGGTTTACCAGAAGGGGAAATTGTACTTTTCCAAGATGACAATTTCATTCATAAAAAGCAAGATCAAATGCAAACAAGTTGTTTTATTATTTCAAATAACTAATTTCCAACAAAAACATTAAACACAGCTCGTAACAGGAACTCAAAAACAATCTCAAAACTATGTTTTGCTTATTTCCGTGAAAACTAGTCAGAAACCCATGGTATCTGCGGTTTCAATGATGTAGAGGGGAAAATAAATGTATGGGCCCAAAATGGCAAATGAAAATACATTGAATTTTAATTTGTCTAAAAATAGCCAATTTTCCTATGCACTCAGAGATGATAAACTTTCCAAGTTCTATTTTGGAGCACGACAGCTCTTTTCCATGTTCCCTGAACAGTCTCATTTCCCTATCTGATGACTCCCTTGGCACTCTGTGTACTTGGGCAAAACAGGGGTGAGGGGCGACAGGAGTGGGGGCCGTCCACTTGGAAACTCTGTGTCCGCCAGGCACACTCAGTCCTCTGCGAACGAGTCTCCTTTACTATGTCTGTTCCATTTATCTACTCTATCTATGTTTGCATTAACTCTTCCACTCGCTTGTCTTCCACATTTCTTATGTCCTGTGGTAAGACACGCTTAATTTAAAGCTTTGTCTTGAGTGTTTTAGAATGGTAAAAGAAAAACCATTGAGGCACAGCTTACTTGGTTTACGTCAAATTATTCAAACTCCTCGGGAATTAGGAAATTATTAGGCCATGATTAAGAAGTGAAGATCACAGTAGTGCAGAAGTCGCCTCTCCATCTTACTCCATCACCGTCCGGAAACTTGTAGCTTGCAAGGCGTAATCTTTAATATGGGAAAGGGTGTGGCTTCACACTTAGCCACAGTGGTGACAGGTAGACAGGGGGTGTGGGAGACAAAGGCACCACGAGATGGGGATGGGGCACTGGACAGGCACCTGGACATGCAAACGTTGGTGGAGGAGAGGCTGGGGTTTATTTCATACATTAACCTATTAATTAGTTTTATTTCTCTTTCCTTTCACACTATTTCAAAGCTATGTTGCAGAACAGACAATGTATACTATTTCTTGGTTCCAGAGGTATTTTTTGCCAAACAGTACATGGACATACGCTGTGTCATTTAGATTCTGCAATAGCCTGAAAGTGAGATCTCTTTCCCTCCAGTTCACAGTTATAAGGGGTGAAAAAATCAAAGGAGTTAAAGGAGTTAATAAGAAGTTAGAACTAAGATGCTTACTCTAATCATTAGTAATATGCCGGTGCAATCATGTTGAAGTGAGTGATAGAAGGGTTTTATGACAGTTCTTTAATTCACACAGTAGTCACGGGTGTTTTCATTATTTCCCATTAGCTTCAGCAGGTGCTGAAGCTTAGAAAGGAAGGTTGAATAGCCAGAAGCAGGGGCAGATTTGAACCTAGATTAGAACGCCACACTACGAGATGAACCACTGTCGTGCATGAGCTTACATATTTGAACAGGTCTGCTCGGTGCAGAGTCTGTGGCTTTTCAGGGTCCCGTGTGGCTTCTGATTGAAGAGAGTTGTTCTCGGGTGAGATCTACACACCCATGGCAGAGTTTCACTGTCTGATGGCAAAATGAGAAACTCAAACGCAGTGTCAAGGGCTTCCCTGACTACTAGGGCCTTTCCCTGCAAAACACTGCACTTGGTTCTGGGAACATAGCCTTCCTTTTGCAGAACAATAATATCCCTTTTAAATGTGATGATGGCCAGAATGACTGATAATTATGTTTAAATATATTCATTAAAAATTTGTCAGTCCTATGCCATCTGCCTCATACTTGGGGCAATGGGAGAAAATGGCATGAACTCATAAACTCTAAGATTCTGGCCTCCATGGCAGAGAGGGAGCCAAAGAAGGTAACAATGAAAATATTTTATAATAATAATATAATATAATAATAAAAATATTTTATCAAAAATGCATTTCACAGGTTTTTCCCAAGACTTAAGCTTTAGGCTTAAAGGGAGTGTCACTTTCTAGTTTTTAGCGACGTCTAAGAGAAGCAGAACATACCTGAAGAATAGTGTTGCCATCCATATCGACTGTATTTTCATAGGATAAACCCCTCCATATACCATAGACCTGTACTCCTGCTGAACACTGTAACCGTAACCGCAGCCATGCCGTGGCCCCACGCTCTCCTCTGACAGGCACTAACCATTGTAGAAAGCCATGCTGCTCCAGCAGCCAGGATGCCATCTTTAGACTGCAGGAGCCTGCATTACTTGTCAGTAGCTCTTGACCTTTCTTATGCACAGATTTCTGCAGGAAAGAGTTTTTCCATAGTGAAAAACTTTCATAGATTTTGCATGAGATGGAGAAAACACCAAGCATGCTAGAAGGGATGCAGGCATGAATTTGATTGGCATTCCCCACCTGTATCTCATTGTTTTTGTTTGTTTGTCTGTCTTAATCTTGTATTGTGGTGGGTTAGATATATTTTTTTAAAACACACTCATGGGAATCGTAGAAGACCATCGGATGATGCGACAAGTAAGACCTGTCATGCATGAGGAAAGTTGTAGCGGAAGGGCATAGGTTTAATGAGGAAACACGCTTTGAATGCAAACCAGTGGTTGCTATCTGTCGGATAGCAACCTGGAATCTCCTGGAATGACCAGTGCACAGCACCAGATACCTTTTCCTAAAATGCACATCCTGAGCATTTGCTTATCACTCTTGGGTTTGTGGTTGGGTTACCTGGCCAGTGACCTGACATGTCTAGGGTACAGCCTAACTCTGATTGTTAATAGAATATTAGAAAAATTTGCATACGCTGATTCCATAATCAAACATTTTGTTTTCACCCTAATGCTAAAGAATAAAAGGTTTCTGTCCTTTTAAAGAGAAAGCAGTATCAGTTTCAGAAAAGACCCCTGGGGCCCAGATTTTTTGGTTCTGTTGTTCTCCTTGTGGAGCTCCTGTTCCCTCCATATCTTTCTCTCTCCCCCTTCTTTCATAAGATCACCTGCACTCTGCCCAAAGTTTGGCTATGAGTCTCAGCATCTGCTTTGATGCCCTGCTGGGTACAGTCTTTCAGAGGCCCTTAAGTCTCCTGTCCTGTTCCCTGTTTTCTCCCTCTTCCAATGTCTATTCCATTTGCCTTTCTGAATGAGGATTGAGCATCTTACCTACTCTGGGTCCTCCTTCTTGCTTAACTTCTTTAGGTGTACAGATTTTGGTATATTTATCCTATATTATATGTCTAATAACCACTTTAAAGGTAATATATACCATGTGTGTCTTTCTGCTTCTGGGATACCTCACTCAGGATGATCTTAGAAAACTTTAGAATTGTGTAAAGTGTAAATTGAAATATCTCTGTCTTCTGCATTCAGCATTTTTGTTGTTGTTCAATGCTCGTAGGCACCATGTATGCAACATAACTTTCTAACTGAAATAAATTTCTAATTTCAATTTGCCTTTCACTTAGGAATAATCATGGGTATTGTTCCAATTAAGCATATATGTATCTAACTTGGTCTGTTTAGCAGCTGCACTGTATTTTATTGTTGAACAATAAAGTATCAACATATTTTAATGATTTTATTGTTGCTACTGTTATATTTTTAGAGTATTTATTGTAGCATTATTTATTACATACGGTCTGTAACGTATGATCTGTAACAGTTATTATGTAACATTATTTATTTGTTACAATAAACATTCTAATACATTAAAAAAAAGAGAAAGCAGAAGTATGCCATATAGTTCAGTCCTCAGAAGAAATAGATGAGGAAGGAAACTAATTCCTTTTCCTTTCTTCCATGGGGCTTGTTTTTCTCATGTCCCGAGTTCATAAGACTTGAGGAACTTAAATAGCAGCTTCTAATATGCTCAGAGACAAGTTTATATGGAATACACTCTGTTTTGTGAGAATTAGTATCTTGAATGTACATTTATTATGTTTCATATCTTCGTGTGGTTTGAGGTGCAAAACTGCAGCAGAGAAATTGCCACATGATATGTCAACCACCAAATAGAGATAATAGCAAGACTGAGTCTCCAAAGACTCAACATTATATAAAAGAAAGTCACCAGCGTGAAGTGTGAGCAAGCCAATGGGAGATGATTCTGAAATTATCAGTTGTTATACTAATTTATGAAAATGGCTTTAAAATATTTATGCTAAAAGATAAAAATATTTTTCCACAGATTAACTGTTTTCCATTAAAAGTAGTGAGTAGAGTGAGAAAATGCTTTTTCAAGTGCCTGAGTGCTTTGCCAGCACCTCCCCATCACCACTAAAAGTGAAGTAGAAGAGCCTTTACTGCAGCTGTCTGTGTAACTACAGGTCTGTTGCAGGTAGTGGAAATCATCTGGATCAGATAATAGTCTTGATTTTTAACATAAATCTTGTTTACTGAACCATAAAAGGGCGAAAACCTTAGTATATACCCCCCAAAAAATGTAGAAGACATTTCCTGATAGAGAACTTAAAAACAACACAATTGACCCACCTTTGCTAGAAGAAAACAGGGAGGAGCTGGCTTCTGCCTCAGCAGATGGGGTGGAATAGAGAAGTTTGTCGCATCAGTACTCAATTAAGAAAGTTGACCTTAGGAAGGACATTATTCACTTTGGAGTCTTTGTGAAAGATTATATGGAAACTTGCCTAACTTTCACCAATTTTTAAAGTTACAATTGGTTACCAGTCTTGGCAAGTTTTATTTTTCCCAAATGCTTTCAACTATTTTTTTTTTTATTCTTATGATATG